GCCAGCCAGCCCCGCCCCCTGGTGGGCTGAGCTGGCCACACACACACACACCTCTCTCTCTCTCTCTCTCTCTCTCTCTCTCTCTCTCAAATAAAAAAAAAAGTACATCGCTCTAGCAGAAATGAAAAATGCAGAATGACTAAAACTATTCTCAACGGTCCCTCAATAGTTGCTGATCATCACCAGTTTTTTGTTTTGTTAATATTTTTTAACAAAAAAAAAAATTTGTTTAACAAAAATTTGTTTTTTAACAAACACACATCAGCAAGGATGATACTACTTGGACATCTTGGTATCAAGATACCAAATTATCAAGCAACATTATTTTGGTTTGTAGTTACATTAAAAAATACAGGGTTGGGGAGATAGCTCAGTAGAATAAGTGCTTGCCTAGCTAAGCACAAGGGCCTGAGTTGGGTGGGCGGGTACGGGACTTTGTTGTTACATTTAAAAGTATTTATCCCATTCTTACCTATTTAGGTTCAGTCCATGAGAATGGGGAGAATTTTTGATACCAGATTCTACAGAAGATGAAGGCTTTTGTAAGGCTTTCACCAAGTCAAAATCTTCCATAGTGTACAGAAACTATTACACTCTTTTATTTGAAAAACAGAGGTTCTTTAACTGCTTGAGGAAACTGAATCCCAGTCATCTTCAGATGCCTGTCTACCAGCATTTTCAGTTACTAACATTCAAAACTGGAAAATTTCCTAAACTTCCAAGAGAGTCTGAAAGTGAATGAGGAAAATAAATGCTACTATAAAAAGCTGCTAATTTAACAACTGTCTCTTTAGACTTTCAAAATTTTCACTTCTTTATATAAAAGTACATTAAGGACAGCAATTTTTTGTTTGTTTGTTTGTTGAGACAGGGTCTTACCATGTACTTCAGGATGGCAATGAACTCACTGTGTAGCTCACACTGGTCCTGAACTCATAGTAATCATCCTCTTAAGTCCTAGGATTACAGGTGTGCACCACCACACCTGACTAGGAACCTTATTTATAACAGCCAAAATGTAGAAACCCAAATGTCCACATTTGGACACATGCATTAATGGATTATTCAGATTTAAGAAGGAATGACAACTAGTGTAGTGACACACACTTATAATTCCAGCATTCTGTAAGATTGAGGTAAGAGGATCACGCCGTGGAATCTAGCTTTTACTTACCAAGACCTTGTGTCAAAATATGGGCTAGAGATGTAGCTCAGTGTGCAACCCCTGACACTGAAGAAAAAAATGGAAGGAAACACTAATGCATGTTACAATGTAGATGAATATTGAAAACAATGTGCTAAGTAAAAAGAACCTGCCACATAAGAACACAAAGATTCCACCTACATGAAATATCTACTACAGGGGCTGGGGAGATGGCTCAGTGGAAAAAGCACTTGCCTGGCAAGCACAAGTGCCTGCGTTCAATCCCCAGTTCTGCCAAAAAAAAAAAAAAAAAAAAAA